TGGATGATAGAAACATTTCATCTGGATAATTGCTATTGCTCTAAGGAATTGGAACTTCCAGAAAGAACAATTCAACATATGAAAATGCTTAGATCTGTCAGTGCTAGCAATAGAAGCTTGAACTGTTCATCCCTTTGGGGATTTCAGCATAAAGTTGTCGGTTGAAATAAAATGTAAAAAGTGCTACTTTAAAAATGAAAATACATTTGTACAGTAATGGCAGGACAGCAGTTGCAGTAAACAAGAATACTAGAGAAAGATGCCTGCTTATGACAGGAAATAGCTTCTTAGAATATAAATTTGCTTTCACTTCAAGAGTGGTTTCCAACTTATTCTTAAACATGGGAACTTTTGTTTGAAATACAGAACATCACAAATCAACTGACTAAGAAAAAGGATTGCCACAAATTCTTGACCATGTATTCCTCAGTTTTGCAGCATAATCCAAGCACATGGTTTCTCTCTGCTTACTGTAAGCACAGTTAGGAGAAATACCCCAAAATATAAAAACACAAGACACTTCGTGCCAGAGATTTGGTAACAATCATAACCCAAGGCTAGTCTATTAGCAGAAAGCACATCCAGTCATCAGAAATGCTCTTCTGCTAACAGAATCATCTTATGATGATGATACTTTATTCCACCCTCTCTTCTCAAGGGGACTCAGGGCAGATTACAACAAAAGATGGCAAACATTCAATGCCAGATCTAATACATAAATAAGTAACAAACCAGTAACTTAATCTACATCTAACATCTTCTGCCAGTTGATCTTTGCTTGTTTTGCTAAGATCTCCTTGTAGAAGAGCCAAAAGTGTAGAAAAGAGGTGGGGCAAGGAGAAAGCGGGTCGTGCCAGATCCAAATCCCCTGCAGCTCAGGGACACATTCAGAAGGCCAACACAAACTTTGTGGCCCTAAGTAATTTCTAACTTTTCGAGGCTGTGTGGGTGGAAAGTTGGTTTCAGCATAGAGTCACTGGCATACTCAGATGAAACTAGTTAGGGTTGCATTCTAACTCTCCAGATTTTACTCATTCCTCACTGGTTCCTCTCCAGATATTGACTTCTTCTGTCTTTGCCTTTTGGTACCTGAATATGAGTTTTATTCCTGCCTTAACTTTCCTGACAACTTTCTGTTCACTGTTACTTAGTGTGCATCTACATTGTAGAATTAATGTAGTTTGACATCACTTTAACTACCATGGCTTAATGCTATGGAATTGTGGGAGTTTCCAAAGTCTTTTGCTTTCTCTGGTGCCTTATCAGACTAAGGACCTCATCACATGGAAGTCCTTAAGCCATGGGACAGTGGGACAAATCCATTGGGCAGTGGGAGAAAACAGTATTAAGTGCCTTGCATCACCCCTTCCTCAAACTGTCATTGCCTGGCTTAGTTAACGAGGACACAGGTGGTTGTTACATATATTCTCAGAGATCCATCCTATGATGTTTCCAGGATGGAGCCCTGCCAAAAGTAGCCCTGTATTATATAATGGGTTCTGAAGGGCTCCATCTTGGCTCCATCCTGGAAGTGTCGCAGGACAGGACAAAAGCCCCATGTGATGAGGTCCTAAAACTACCATAACTTCATAGAATTGAGCCATGGCAATTAATGTGGCATAAAACTAAATTAATTCTACAGTGTAGATGCACTCAGTCACCTGTAGTACTTTCCTCACCTTCTGTCATGAAATTGAGTTGCACTGACTTATTCCCAGTTCACATTGTCTCCTTTTTCTTCTGACTTTTAAAAAGGAAAAATCACATGGGCTATATGTCAGTGCAGGGAACACAAGACTTTCTGGATCAAGCAAAGTCGATCCAGTCCAATGGCCAGCCCAATAACCTGTGACCTCACTTGCAATATGCTGGTTCAATAGTGTGCTCTTGCTTGTGTTCCTTAGCAACTGCTACTGGAAGGCCTGGAGCCTGACACAAGAAGTAATCCACATCCCTTGAGATTAGTAGCCACTGACAGAAAAATTGCAGGAAGATAAAAGTTCTGTACCTCTTTCCCCTTCATTTCCCTGCTCAGAATATTTCTTCCTAAATTACCTTTCTATGTTTAGGGAGAAATATAGGATTGCAAGTATCTAAGTTTATACTGTATATGAAAAGACACAGCGTACCTGTATCTTTCCCTTGAAAGGAAAAAAAATGAAGCTTAGGGAAAGTAATTTTTGCGCTGAAAACAAGCTCAAAGCCTTGAACAATGTCTCTAGCTACCATTCCTCTCTCTTCACTTGTAGTTCATCCCAGTTGATATTTCTTTTCTTTACATTTTGAGGATGGAAAGACAGAACCATTCAATCTGTGAGCCTCACTTTCTATCTGCATTCCCCACCATGCCTCTCCCCCCCCCCCCCCCCCCCCGGTTGTATTGATATATGCTGTTTTTTGCCCTTTCAAACATCCACAGTCACTGACTTTTATATCAGAAGAAGAAATGGAATCAGTGTGTGTCTAAAGCGTACTCTGATGCCACTTGGCATTAATTTTTAAAGCCTTCTTTCCTTTTGTACTGCATTGCAAATTGAATTTTTACCTGCACTTGGAAAAAATAGAACTACATTTGATGTCTTATTTACTCACAGTTTACATGGGAATCTTTCCAAGGAAGACTTTAATAACTGATTAAAAAAAAACAAGACGTTTTAGTAAATATATTTCCTTCCTATTGTGGAGAAATAGAGAAAGCTTCCATGGTCTGGCACCTCATCCCTGTTGGATTTCAGCTTCTGATTGGAGATGATGAGAGACGTGGTCTAACACATCTGGAGGCTGCCAGGTTGGAAAAGGCTGAACCTGTCAAAACCATCTGTAAAATGATAAACAGTTTGAGCTGTAAGAAGCTTTACTATCTTGACCATGCTGCCTGGGGAATCCTGGGAGTGGTAAAGGATGCAACATTTGCAAACTCTGGTCTACACCAACTAGTGTCATCTCCCTAAATTCCCCAGTGGTGTTCTTTGCCATCACCTGCTTGTACTTACGATCCTTTTCAGTGAGATCTAAGGGCCGAAGCTTGTGACCATCTACATGCTTTATCATAGATCTATGATCCTGTCTTTTCTCAAACCACTGTGTCACTATATGTACAGTACGTGACTCAGAAATGAGGTATGCTAGAAGGTCCCTCCTTTGTGTCCCACCAGTGTGAGTAATACAAAGTGGGAGGACGTGTGGCACCAAGATTGTGGAATGCCCTCCCTTGGATGTTCAACTAGTGCCAATGTTGGTTTCTTTCCAGCATGAAAACATTCAGGACAAATTTATTTCAAAGCAACATGTACACAGTTCTAAACTATTGTGGTTTTAAAAATGGTTTTAACTGTGGTTAGATCTAATATGATTTTAACGTGTTCTAATTATTTAAACTGGAAGCATGCTAAATTGTTTATTTTACCCTGCCCTGAAATCCTATGAAAAAGGATGTCTGGAATCATATTAGGAAGTTATGGATAACCTAGAGCAGGCATGGGCTGGTAGGCTGTTAGGAATTGTGGGAGTTGAAGTCCAAAACACCTGTAGGACTGAAGTTTGCCCATGCTTGACCTAGAATCACATATTTGTAACTGCTTGGTATTCACAATATTATTATTATTATTTTGAACATTTACATTCTGCTCTTCTCACCCCCGAAGGGAGACTCAGAGTGGCCTACAAATGGCAATCATTAGATGCCACACAAACAATAGCAATAAAATCACAATTAATACCTTTGTATCCCTTAGTTTGGGGCACATGTCAGGGCCACAAAAATCTCCCAGTTCTCACTTAATGGGCAACAGCCATTGCAATCAACAGGGCTTTATTCCACTCTCTGGAAGTGGACTGATGTTCCTACTTCCACTTGTGTGAGTAATTCCCAATTCAGGGGGGAATTCCATCAAGAACCATGCTTTTGCTTGTTGCAATGGGGATTTTTCATGGAAGGAGGTAAAACTATGAGTTAGAAATTATTCAAGTGATGGAAGCTTCCTAGTAAGTGGATACTGATGAATTAGTCCAAGAGTTACTGCATAACTAGATAACTATGATGGTTACACATTCATAATTCCCTAAAAGGTTCCAATAAAAAGATTTTAATAGATATGGATAGATAGATAGATAGTAGACTAAACAATTTAAAAGGTGCAGCTTTCTATTTGGAGGCAAGAAGTATTCCACTTGTGTCAAATATTAAGTGGTGATTGTTTCTTTTCAGAAAATGCATGAGTTAGAATATAATGTATTGCTTCATATTGTTTTGCTCTTTCTATTTTTTTTTAAAAGGACAGAAATGATCCTATAGAAGAATCCTATTTCAATGAGGATTTATCCACCATATTCATGACCCTAAGAATTCACAACAACTAGGTCAGAAAGTGTATAAGAATGAGAATTGCCTACATTAGCTTCAGGCTTGCACAGTTATGTGGCCATGTTAGAGGAATGTCAGGTGAACAAGGCAACTGGATTCTGTCGATCTTTGGCCTAAATGAAGTATTCATGAAGTACATAATTAAACAAACAAACAAAATACCATCCATGGATAGGTCAACCAAGACAGTGGTGTTTTCCTCATGGGGCCCTCTGCCTGTGTATTTTCCTCCTTGCTTATGGGTAGTCATGTCCACAGCATGGTATAGTACTTTGACATTTATCCCTAGGAGTGTGAGATTGCTTCTCTAAGGAAGCATATAAATAACTATGCTATTGCCAAGAGTTTCAGAACAATTTATTGTAAGCTCTCGGTGTACTTTTGTTGAGGTTAGGCATACTCAGCCCAACCATGCTGTTCTTCTTGAAATGTTCTGCAACAGCATTTTCTATTTCAAGGCTTCCTTTGAACTCTTTTGCTATTATGTCTTTTCCGTAGCAACAATATGATTCAATTTCACACTGCACTTCAGAATGAAAGGAGTATCTAGTTATCCTACCATGTTTATTCATACTGTTTTCTCCAGTAATGAAATTGCTTTCCATGAACTGTTAACACTAACACGATGATAGGATACTTATGGTCAAAACCATACCATATTCTGAAGAGCCAGGCACTTTCTGCTTTGGTAGTATTTTTATTTGGGGCCTGCAACAATATGAAAAAGGGAAAATGTTAAAGATGTCCAAAAAGTCAGTTAAATTAAATATGTAAATGATTTAAACATTTGTCTCTTTTTAATAGAAACATTTTATCTTGTTCACAAACCATTTCATCTAACCAGTTTTCATACACACACACACACACACACACACTATTTTAAATAACATTCTGAGACTATTAATCACTTGTTTATTTAGTTGTTATGTGCATTCCACATCATCTGTCATGGAAATGAATATGTCATGCATGGAACTCCCAAGGATGATGTCCTACTGAAGCTAGAAACACACCCAGCTTGGGTTCTGCAAAATAAACAATATAATACAATCTTAAACCATGCCGTTCTTCTAAAAAAACCTTGTTGAATTAGGGTCTTTGCTTCTTCCTATTTATTTCAGCTTTCTGGAGACATAGGCAAGAATTACAAATAAAAATATAATTAGGAAACTAGTGGTACAATCTTATCTCTAATCACAATCAAGCATAATGCAGGTATTAGTATTAATTAGAAACACTAAGTAGTATTGAGTCACTTTATACAAAGGAAGCGTACAGAGAACACTAGCTTTGCGGTGTGGGGGGAGGATATAGAGCTGCGGTTCTCAACCTGTGGGTCCCCAGATGTTTTGGCCTTCAACTCCCAGAAATCCTAACATCTGGTAAACTTGCGGGGACTTCTGGGAGTTGTAGGCCAAAACTCCTGGGGACTCAGGTTGAGAAACACTGTTATAGAGGATGGATGAATGGGACAGGCACTCTGATAAACACATGGGATTTCACTATGCCATTTCCCTCCACAGAACACATCCACATGAAGCCTGGGTCAGTAGAGCAACGTTTTTCATCAGTGTGAGCCTTCTGCTTTCTTTTATTGTTAGGCTAGATACGTCATGAGATAGAGTGCACCATGGGTCTCATGAAACAGGACGTGGAGAGTGGCAAATTATAGCATACCTCTAGGAAGGGCTGACTGCTCATCTTTGCTCTATGGAGCTGGCCAAATGCCTGGTACTGAAAAATAACCCCTCATCTAGGTTTTTGGACCCAACCCCTTCGTGGAGAGCACACTGTGTGATCACAGTGCTGCATTTAATATAATCCACTTATTCTCCATTTCATTCTCAGAAGTTAAAGTTAGTGGGAATTTTATTGTAGTTCTGTGTTCACTTAATTGTGCCTTATATCTTGCCCTTTGCTTAATATGTATTTCATTTATTACTTCTTTTTTCATTTGTGTGCTAGTCACATTATAACTGATCCAGCTGCTATGCTCTAATCAAGATTATTACCCTTATTTTAATGCAATACATTTTGTATGTTCACTATTCTTTCGTATATCCACTGATTTTTACTATTTTCTTTCATTTCCATTCTTTATACATTTCTTTTGTGTTTTGTGCTGTTGCGGTTTTAATGGATACTGTACTGAAGACCACTAGAGCAAAATAAAATAGTGGTAAAAAGAAACACACTTTTCAATGTTCCCAGCATTGTTTGACTATTATTGGTCCCAACTATAGCTCTGTTCCCACTAATATTTGATGGAAACATAAGACAGATTCCTTTTCCTGGAGGTATGCCAGAAATGGACTACTTTCCAAGAAGAGCTAAACTCATTTATGGTGTTTTTGTGAGCAGTGAAAGTATTTGTGTTCTTCGCTTTTAGTAGTTTTTAATTTGACCTTTAAATCTATTTTTTAAAAAAAATCAGGGTTCTGTTTCTGCTTAATGTTGTTATTATTGAGTCATTGTTGTCTTGTGGAAATCACTGTGGGAATCTCTTCTATTCCCCCCAAAGTGACATACAACTGTTTTTAATCTGTCAGTCTAATCAATTAAACATTTGCTAGTGTAATGGGACTCTGGGAATCCACTTTATACTTAGCTGCTATTCTTGTTTATCCACTCGCCCTTCCCCAAAATGAGGGAGAATTTTTTTTAATATGGAGTTGTTCTTGAGGAAGGTGACAGGCACTATATTGTTCTTTACTGCACTTGTACTCTCATAAAATAATTCTGTATTTATTTGTGTTAATGATTACAATTGTATTAAGTAGTCCAGCAACAACATATTCCGTGATCAATAAAATATATATTTATTCTAAAGTGCTGCAGTGGGATTACTTTCATTTTACTGCTGTCAAACTTAGAAGGTATTTGTCTTTTATTTTATTTCCTTTTTTAGTTTATGGCTTATAAAAAGGTCATTCCTGCAGGGATAATAATGTTTCAATTATTACGTCACATTTCTTCTCTTCTGTTCCCTTCATCATCACCCCCGTCACTTGCCAATTTAAGACAACCAATACTGGAACATAGAATTAGTTTCTGATATTTTATTCATTTGTTTCTATGACAAAAGGCTCTCCTGTTACATGGGCAACACAGCTGGGGGAGTGCTATGATTTTTCCTCCATATAAACAAAGGGTTAATGATGTGTTGATTTACAGTTGCATTTATGGGTGCTCTGCATCACAGAAGAGCAAAGAGATAATGAGAGACAATTGCCTAATGAAGGTTGCTAGTGAGGGAGAAGTATAAAAACACATACACAAACACGCACGCACGCACGCACACACACACACACACACACACAGATATTAAACAGGAGATGTTTACAAAAGCATATAGATATCTTGATCATATTCTGTATATTACAGTAAGATGGGGATCTGGGTTTGATATGTATATATGAACAGACAAAGTTTCATGAAAGTATGGAGCTTTTTCATTAGAGTATCAGATTTCCATAAAAGCCTAGTGTGGACATACTCTAAAATACATTAAAAATGTAATATCCTTCAGATATTACAAAGTTGCCAAACAATCGTACAACCTTATCACATGGGGGAGCCCCCTCCCCCATGCAATTTCACCAGCAAGCATGGTGAAACAGCTGGCATAAGGGGCGACTCCATAACCCTATACACTGCTCCGGCACGGTAGTGCTTCCCCCATCCCACGGGGAAAGTGTCACCTAAACCAGACAAATGGGTGCCTCCAATCTGTTCATGACATTGTGTGATGGCAATCATGGGGTTCCATCCCCGAAGTAGGCTGGAAGCATCCTAGGACACTTGTTTTATCAGTGTGATGAGGCCCTAAGTCATATTCAGCTGATAGAAAGAAAGATAGGCCCTAATGCTAGCACCTGAACTTTTCTCTACTCTACACAGATGGTGCTCTGGGTCTTTGGATGTTCTTGGGAAGCTGTAAGTCTGGACTTCTTTGACTATGACCAAGCTTGTCTAGGGACAGTGAGGTAGGTGACATCTCTGTCAGTCTTTATCTCTCTTCTGCCTTATCATGAAAACATCTTGAAGTTTGCACACTTCTCCAAAACTGGTTATTCTCATTGGGCAACTGTCTCTCATGATTTATATTTCCCCTATGTGATGCTGACTCCCAATAAACAAAATCTAACCCATCATATCATTAACCTTTTGTTTGCCTCAAGAGAGACTCTCTCTTTCAGCTCAGTTGCCCAGATAATAGCAGAGCCTATCATCACATATGGTCAGAGATTTCATATAGCTCATCCCATATGGTCAGAAGTTGCATGTAGCTCATTGCCTGAACTGGCAATGCTGTCTGAAATAATAAAATAATAAAAAGTGTACCCATCTCTTATGCATGCTTAGAACCAAGTTTCATTGGCCACTATGGATGACACACTGATTTATAACAACCCTAGAAAAGCATTGCTGTCTTTCTGGTGAATCTGAGGAAGGTCTAGGAAGATTCTTCTCTTCCTTTGCTTAACTACAGTTTCTCATTTATTCTAAACTGGTAGAAGGTAGATAATGTTCATGATAGTTTGATTAAAACAAATCAACTTGAAAGTTTGTGTTTCACACAAACCACAAGTAACATTACTCACACTTTGTTGGTTCAAATGACAAGACAAGCTGTAATCACTTCCAAACCCCATATACGAGGGTTATACGGAGAGTAAGGTTACAAGATTTTTTTAAAAATACAAAGAATGAATGTTTTAATGAAACTTACATGGATTGTAGCATAGGTATTACATTATTTTCCCAGATAGTCACTATCCAGTTCAATGCATTTTGTCATTCATGGGACAAATTTTTGATGCCGGTGTCATAGAAGTTTCCCTTCGCCTTTTTCAGCCAGTTTAATTTTCACTTCATCATTGTTGGAAGTGTTTTCTACCAACTTGTTCCTTCAATTTAGTGAACAGATGATAGTCACTGGGTGTGAGATCAGGGCTATGAGAGGGGTGGCTTACAACATCCCAAACAAATGAAGTCAACAACTCTTGTGTTGCATGTGCAGTGTGTCAGCATCCCACGATGTTTGTTTTGGATAGTTCTGCAAAGTTTCTTCATGGTCTCACAATATATTCCATACCCATTTTGTCACATGCTGTCTTGACATAATGTCCTCTCCGTAAACCGAAACAAATTTGCGATGATTTGCAGTGGTGTTCATGTCCTTAGCATTTAGGTAGCATATTACAGTGCGAACTTCACACTTGGAGGGAAACAGAATGAGGGTACTCATCTTTATCCTTCACCACAACGCCAGTCAATGAGCTACTGATGGTTGGCACTGCTCGCTCGCTTCTGCTTGCTTCCCACCACACGGCAATGATTCCAACTTCCCCCAAGAAAATTACCTGTGAGAGTTATGTGTCTTGTAACCTTACTTTCCGGATAACCCTTGTATTACCATGTCAAGAACAGGAAGTACAAGATATAATATATTGCTTGTACATTCTAATTTATGGTGGCATTTGAACATGGTGGGTACTGAGTTTAATTAGGTTTATTCAGAAATGGTGTGCATAAACTAGTGAATTTAAATACAATAAATTCTGTATTGGATTGAGGCAGTTATATTTTAAAGAAGCTAAGCAGGAGAGCAAATGTATGCTTTAAATTAAGGCTTATTAATTCATATGATATAAATTGAAATTACTTAAAACAACTAACATTGTTCATTCAGTTAGCCACTTCTCTTTTGAGACCTGAATCAGTGTCTGAAGATACGAGAAATTTTTCTTTTGCTTGTTTCACATTTTTTGACTGTTTCCTCCCATATTTGACATGTTTTCTAGTTGTTTCTATAAGCTTTAGGGCTTTTATGGTGGAAAGGCAGGATACACATTTTTAAATTAATGAAATAAATGAAAAATGTAATGACAACTTCTCTGCAGCTGCATATCATGTCTAACTTTGTATTCTAAACAAGTTGGAAATAACTGAAGTGACTGCATTCAATTATTTCTGAACATTATTGATGGATTCACAATATTGCATTATGAAAGTCTATTAGTGAATAAGTGAAAATAAATGAGCTACTAGTCCATTGCAGGGTAAGTGATAAATCCAGTATGAAGTGACAGATCTGACACAGCAAAAATCACAAATGCCTTCATGAGAATAATGTAATGCAGTTAAACCAGTGTGAGTTGAGTTGTGGCAGTATAATATGCAGAATGCAGTCAAGTTCGTGCTCAAATGAGACTTTCAGCAACTTTCTTCTCTTACATCCTTGAATGTAAGAGTTTGGAAGCATCTGTGTTTGGAAGAGTTTGGATGCATCCATGCTGTGAAAACAGCAGAGATGTGTATGCAGTCTTTGTCCCTGCAGATGGACCACAACTGTTAGATTAAAATTTGTGCAATATAGCACATTTTTAAAAAGAAAGATGTGGGCAAATATCATACACCCAGACAACAGCACAGAATCTAACTATATTGTCTGCCCACTTGTCTATCTGTCTGTCCATTCATCTATCTGCCTGAGGCCTATCTACTTATCTTTCTGCTTCACACACAATCAACAGAGAGATGTGCATCTTAAATTAATAAACTGACAATATGCAACAGTAAGAAGCATGCAAAACAATAAACATGCATAGGCAATAATATACAGATATACAAAATGTGTAAATATATATCATGAACAGCAAATAGAGATAAATACATTATGATGATGATGATGATTATTACTATTATTATTATTAGCAGGCAGTGGTATGTAAACACAGGACAGGTAGATGTATGCAAACACATGACTGGAATAATGGTAATGTTTCATTGTATGCAGCCATAATTTTAAACTGCTGTTAGCAAATATATTTTGGACCTGACAAATCTAAACAGGCAACCATGACTATAAGATATTATTAACCCTATTCTTGAATTTGGTATCGTGGTGCTGGAAACTGTTTTTTCATTAAATCCAGTCTAGTAGTCTTCTGTATGTGAACTGAAATAGTACATCTTGTCCATTTTCCCTACTTACAAACTGACTTTGATTCAGGATTCAAAACACAAAGGCCATGCTATAACATCTATTTAAGATAACGGCTTAGGTCCTGCTTGCTAGTTCCACTAGAACAGACCCATTGAATCCATTGCTGAATGTTGGATTTACCTACATTGTTGAGACAACATGTAGGTAAATCCATTGATTCAACAACACTAATAATGCTAACAACAGCAGTGTTGATACTAACCATAGAATTTAGACCATGCAAATGATAAAATTAGTGCATATTTATAATATTTTGATGCCCAAATATTTTCAGTTCAGAATCAGAATAATACATTTTCTCTTTATTTATGTTTAAGGAATATTCTTTTTAAATGCTTCAAAAACAAATAAAATGAAATAAGGGAGATGCCTAACATAACTGTTATATTAAATTTTTCAGTTTTACTTTTGTTCATTATGTTCATCAGAATTTCTCACTAAGCGGCAGTTTATTTTATAAGATAGGTGAATGTAAGAAACAGGATTTTCTGATTTTGAGGAACAGTTGGACATTTTCCTAAGGGTCCAAGAAACCACACTATAGAGTTTAAAAGGTCCTAAAGAATTCATGGATGAATACAGAATCCCTTTTAAAAATTTATCTTTAAATTGTAACTTGCCTGTGCAGTCTTCAGGTCATCATCTGGGTCTACACCAACACTATGAAAAACACAAACAATGGTAAGGGACCAAATGGCAAATGAAGAATAGTTGGACATATAAAGCAACCATTTCTCTATAAAAATCACATATAACAATGGCATGAAATAAAAATAAAACTAGAAAAATACTAAGCTGTGACATTTATGAGATACTTCCCAGTCAAGAGAGAGTTTCCTATGTAAATATCTGTCCAAATGTGTATGGAATAGAGTAAAGCCACCATCTGGTCCAGCCTGTGGTTTTTGCATATGGTATTGTGGATTGCTATATAGAGTAAACAAAAAACTTTATTATTCTGAATTGTAGTTGCCCCATAGTAACATTCCCTTGCCACTTGAATCTTTGGAAGCCTTCAATCATTTTTGCTCAGAGATGTGCCATGAGGTTTTGATAGCTGAGGTGAAAATTCTGAATTATATCTCCCATAATGGTAAATCAATGGTAAGAAACAGAATGATTGCTGCTATTTAATAGCAGCCACAAATCTGTTATGTGAGATGGCCAACCATCTGTGAAATGGGTGGGCCAGCACTATCTCAATTAGATGGCTTGTAGTTATTACCACTGGCCCCTGCTTGGTGAGGGGAAATATTTGGGCAGGGCTGATGGCATTAGTGGAAATGGACAGCACTATTTGATAAGTATTAAAAGAACCATAGATATTGGATGCATGCATTCTTTTATTTACTACCTTAGGTTTGTTGCATTTTTGGAGCCTTTTTTGACATGCAGTGCAACCTCTGTACCTGTGGGACCCACAGTTTCACCTAGCCACACTCGCTTAAAAGTGTTCTCTTTAGGAAGGTACTTCAGGAAATTCTATGGTATATTTCCACTGAACGTTAGCATAGAACTGCTTTGAGGACCTAGAAAATTCCTAGGGAAGATACCACTCTAGACATTTACTAAGTCATCCAGCATAACTCCATGATAAGCGGAAGTAGCTCATATCAATAGGGTTCCTTTTTATCTGTTGTTTCCTTTTTCCATGGTAGATTCAGAAACATATTCCCATGTTGGGTCATACTATACTGTCAAAATAACAGTACACATTATAATGCTACAGTACATAATACAGTGATTTTGATTTCATATTTGAGTGCACTTTTAAGCCTGTAAATTGATGTCAGAAATTATTTCACTTTTTTTTATTATTTATTTTTTATTTGGTGCATTTGTTAACCGCCATTCTCAGCCCCTAGGGCGACTCATGGCGGTGTACAAACATATAAAAAGGCAATTTACAAAAGGCAATTACAAAACAACATATTAGCAAATACAACAGTTATAAAATTACACTAAATAATCCGCTTCGTCTCTTAGTAGAATCGTAACCAATCTCATATTCCTTGTTCCATTCCAGTCATCTTTACCACATTATCATAGCACTTAATTAAATGCCTTCTCGAACAGCCATGTTTTAAGGCTTTTTCGGAAGGACATAAGGGAGGGCGCCTGCCTGATGTCTACAGGGAGAGTGTTCCACAGCCGGGGGGCCACCACCGAGAAGGCCCTTTCTCTCGTCCCCGCCAGACGTGCCTGTGAAGCAGGCGGGATCGAGAGAAGGGCCTCCCCAGACGATCTCAAGGTCCTCGTGGGCTCATAGGCCAAGATGCGGTCCGAAAGGTATGTTGGGCCGGAACCGTTTAGGGCTTTGTAGGCCAACACCAGCACCTTAAATTGGGCCCGGTAGCAAATCGGCAGCCAGTGGAGCTGGGACAACAAGGGCGTTGTGTGCTCCCTGCATCCCGCTCCAGTTAGTAACATGGCTGCCGCGCGCTGAACCAGCTGCAGCTTCCGGGCCGTCTTCAAGGGCAGCCCCACGTAGAGAGCGTTGCAGTAGTCAAGGCGGGATGTGACCAGAGCGTGTACCACCGTGGCCAAGTCAGACTTCCCAAGGTACGGGCGCAGCTGGCGCACGAGCCTAAGCTGTGCAAATGCTCCCCTGGTCACCCCTGAAACCTGGGGATCCAGGCTCAAAGATGAGTCCAGGGTCACACCCAAGCTGCGAACCTGCGCCTTCAAGGGGAGTGCGACCCCGTCCAGCACAGGCTGTAACCCTATACCCTGTTCGGCCTTGCGACTGACCAGGAGTACCTCTGTCTTGTCTGGATTTAATTTCAGTTTGTTCGCCCTCATCCAGACCATTACAGCGGCCAGGCACCGGTTCAGGACCTCGACAGCCTCCTTAGTAGCAGGTGGAAAGGAGTGACAGAGTTGGACATCATCTGCGTACAGATGACACCGCACCCCGAAACTCCGGATGATCTCACCCAGCGGCTTCATGTAGATATTAAACAGCATGGGGGACAGTATGGAGCCCTGTGGTACCCCACAAGTCAAAGGTTGTGGTGTAGAACAGGAGTCCCCCAATAACACCTTCTGGGTGCGGCCCTCCAGGAATGACTGGAGCCACTGCAGCGCAGTGCCCCCAAGGCCCATTTCCGCAAGGCGCCCCAGAAGGATACCGTGGTCGACAGTATCGAAGGCCGCTGAGAGGTCCAGGAGCACCAACAGGGACACACTCCCCCTGTCTAGCTCCCGGCGCAGATCATCCACTAAGGCGACCAAGACCGTCTCGGTTCCATGTCCCGGTCTGAAACCAGACTGTGCCGAATCCAGAAATCCGTGTCTCTCAAGAATACCTGGAGTTGTGAGGCCACCACGCTTTCCATGACTTTGCCCAAAAAGGGGAGATTGGAAACAGGCCGAAAGTTGTCAAATTTAGTGGGATCCAATGATGGTTTCTTCAACAGCGGTTTTATAATAGCTTGTTTCAAGCTCGCTGGAACTTTGCCTTCCCGAAGGGAGGCATTCACCACCACCGTTACCCACTCAGCCAATCCCCCTCTGGCCTCCCTCAGAAGCCAGGATGGGCAGGGGTCTAGGATGGACGTGGTGGGCCTCATTCCTCCAAGTATCTTGTCCACATCCTCGGGTTTCACAAACTGAAAAGAATCCATCAAAATAGGACAAGCAGGTGCTCTTGTTACATCCTCAGAGACTGCATTTAACGCGGCGTCCAGCCCAGAACGGATCAAGGCGACTTTGTCTGCAAAGAACCGAGCAAATGCTTCACAGCGCGTGACCGAGTTGTCAGGGCTCCCGCCTGAGGTGGCGGGAGTTAAAAGACCTCTGACAATCCGAAACAACTCCGCCGGACGGTTTTTGCAGACGCAATAGTGGCCGCAAAGAAAGTTTTCTTTGCGGCTTTTATTGCCGCGGCATATGCCCTTAAAAAAGGACACAAACCGTGTTCGATTTGACTCGCTTGGATCCGAACGCCACACGTTCTCTAGTTCCCTCTTCCTTCGCTTCATCACTGCCAGCTCCTCAGTAAACCAAGGAGCTGGTTTAGCTCGGCTACTTGAGAGGGGACGTTCCGGAGCGATCATGTCAATTGCCCTGGCCATCTCCCCATTCCAGAGAGCGACCAAGGCCTCGACATGGTCACCTACCGAGGTGGCGGGAAAATCCCCAAGAGCCGTCAGGAATCCATTCGGATCCATAAGCCTCCTGGGGCGGACCATCTTAATGGGTCCTCCACCTTTGCAGAGGTTAGGGGGCGCAGTGAGCCTAAATCTGATCAGGAAGTGGTCGGTCCATGGCAACGGAGAGATGGACAACTCCTCCACACCGCCACCCTGTTCCCATCCCTGACAGAAAACCAAGTCCAATGTGTGTCCAGCACAGTGAGTGGGGCCAGATATTTGTTGGGACAGCCCCATGGTTGCCATGGCAGACATGAAGTCCTGAGCCGCACCTGTGAGGGTCACCTCGGCATGGATATTGAAGTCTCCCAGCACAAGAAGCCGTTGAGACTCCAACGCCAGGCTCGAGACTACCCCCGCTAGCTCAGGTAGGGAGACTGTAGTGCAGCGAGGTGGACGGTACACTAACAGAATCCCTAATTCTGTCCCGGTCACCCACCCTCAGGTGGACGCATTCAAAATTTGTGGTCTGCGGGATGGGGCACCTGGTCAGATGGATGGAATCTCTATAGACCACTGCGACCCCGCCTCCCCGACCTCCGGATCTCGGTTGGTGCTGCACGGAGAAACCTGGAGGACAAAGCTGGGTCAGATTTACTCCTCCAGCTTCATCCAGCCAGGTCTCCGTGATGCACGCCAGATCTGCCCGCTCATCCAGGATTAAGTCCTGGATAAAGGTCGTTTTTCCGTTGACAGATCTGGCGTTCAGCAGCACCACCTTCAATCCGGAGGGCCCGCCAGCCTGGTTACACCAATTTACCCTAGGAGACCGGTTTGGAATTGTTAATGTGGATAAACGGTCCGAATTAAGCCGAATTTGAGGTCTCCTTTTTCCGCATCTCCTCCTTCCCACCACGACCTCTATGGGGGCCCCTCGGCTAGTGGAACACCTCCCCTCCTCCGTGCCGCAGTCCATGACCAAGGTCTTAGTCTCTGTTCCGCTAGTTGTTTGGATTGTTGGCGTTTTTTCTTGCCAATTACCTTGATTTTCTTTATCCCCCCTCCCCTCCTCATTGTTCTTCACGGGCTCCAACCCACTTCCTCCCTTGCCCCTTCCACTAGTCAGTAATATTAGGGACAGTATACATAGGAGAGTGGGGGACCACATGGGTGAAAAACAGTACACTTCAGTAGGATGGTAGTGATACAGAGTAGTAAACGTTTTAGCCGCGAAGTAAGATGATACCTAAAGTGCTAGAGTCTTAAAGTGCAACAATCGTAAATTCCACGGCTACAAGCCACTAGGGCGATTCATAAGGTGCAAGATTTTAAAGTGCGATCAAAACCCCAAAACTGGTCCTCAATACTACTAATGTGCGGCAGGAGGGGTCGGAAGGGACAAGTGCAAAAACAGTTAGCAGCAGAGGCAGGCGCCTTAAAGTGCTATATTACGCTCTTATTACCAATTAGCAGCAAAGGTAGAAAAGGAACTGTAATGTGCAATGTTCGCAATATACAACACAGTAATTAACGAGATTAGCGGTTGGTAAAAATGCTGTGATTCAG